TTCTGTTTATTCATTATGATCTGTGGTTTGATGGGTCTCAATATCATGTCTTGAACTGGTCTGGGTTCTTCCTTCCCTCTGAATGGAATTTTGGGGTTGCAGAAGTAAGGCAGAAGGGACAATTCAGAACATTATTTCAGGAGCTGCTAATGTGTGGCCATCTTGTCTCCTCCACCCAGGCTCATACTTTGTCAGGGTGCGCACAGCTTTACTATGTGAGACAACCCAAGAGCAATAACAACAAACATGGTTTGTAAGAAATGCGGGTTTTATCTACAAAAGAATAATGGCTGAGTGTAGGAAGAAAGAGAAATGAAGCATCCTAAACCAGGGTCAGTTGACTGGCATTTAATTTGAGGTGGACTGAATTTTCATCCTTTGTTAAATGCCAAATACACTGAATATTCTAGGTGGAAGTCATCCATTTACCATCTCAGAAAAGTACTTCTATGAGGATGAGTTTGGTTGAAAGGTTGTTGAGAGCTTAATGGCTTGTTCTCCTTTTCCCCTGACTAGATGAATATTGAAAAAGCATTGAAAAGGACATTCACTGACTATATTAATATTTTCCTATCCCTATCGGATGATGTACATGTGCTGCGCAGGAGTTTAGAAAGGTGGAAAGAAAATCTTATTGATCCAGAGGTGGAAAAGGTAGGTAGGTGTATTTCTGTGTGTGTGCGTGCGTGTGTGTTCTTCTCACAGAAAGGGAGACAGAGGGTTCTCACTATAAAAAAGGGAAGATACACATGCCTAGTCCTCATCCAGGTTTAGTTTTTTGAGTTTTAGGAGTGGGAGAACTCCTCCCCCACTCGATCCTATTTTTCCCTCCTGCTTAACCACCCTTTCCATGATTGTAACACGCACGGGGGGAAAGCAGACACGTATGCTGCCCTCAGGAATAAATCGAGATCCTCAGAAATAAAAAACGCAAGACAGGATTAGAACCATTAGCAAGGATACACACGAAAGGCAATCACACAATTGTACAAAGAAAACAAAAGGACTTCAAAGAGGAAAATGGTATAAAAATGTACACTTATTGTGTATCGGTGTCAACCCACCCAGGAACTGTTGGTCTTGCCTTCCTGAAAAGAACTAAACCTTGCTTTCAACACAGCTTGTTTCGATCCTAAATTCTTTCACCACGCCGATAATGCTCTCCCAGCTGGGAAGACCAAATCCACAGAGGAAACTTTCTTTCCTTATAAGGAAACTTAGGAAAGAAAAACAAAAACAAAAGAAATGTACTAGTATGGAAGGTATTGTATCTGGCTTAACAGCAGTAACTGTGAGAGGGATCTAGAGTTTTGGCGGGATAATCACTTAAATATGAGCCAGCATTGTGCTGCAGCTACCAAAAAGGCTAATGCAGTCCTAGGACGCATCAACAGAGGGACAGTATCAAGATCATGAGACGGGTTAGTTCCACCTTAGACTGCACCGGTAACACTACACTTGGAATCGAGTTTTGATCACCATGATCCCCCCAAAATATTGAGACTCCAGAAAGAGTGCAGAGAAGAACAACAAAGATGATTAGGGGACAGGAGACTAAAACATGAAGAGCAGATGCAGGAACAGGGTAGATCTAATCTAAGGAAGAGAAGGATTAGGAATGACATAACAGAAGCCTTTCAATACTGAGGGGCTGCCATGGATAAGAAGAGGTCAATCTATTCTCCAAAGAACCAACGGCAGCATGAGAAATAATAAACTTATCCAAGAGATACCAGTATAAATCACCAGGACCTTATGGATAACATCTCAAGAGTTCTGAAGGAGCTGGCAGATGTTATCTCAGAACTATTGTACCATATCTTTAAAAAATCTGGAGCACTGGAGAACTGCCAGAGGATTGGAAAAGGGCTGATGTGGTTCCCATCTTCAAAAAAAAGTGGGAGGGGAACAGACCCAAGAAATTAAGGACCAATCAGTCGAACACCAATATCTGGGAAGATGCTGGAAATAATAAAAGAAAAACCAGATCTGTGAAAATCTATAAACAAATCAATTTAAAACTAGTAGCTAGCAAAGGGTTGTTAAAAGCATCACGCCAAACCAATCATTTCATTCTTTAACAAAGTGACTAAATTAGAAGACCAGCATAATGCTGTGGAAGTAGACTTCAGCAAGGCATTTGACAAAGTAGATCACAACCTGCTTCTTGGTAAACTAGAAAAATGTGGGAGAGTAAGCATCC